ACAGGCTGTTGAGATCAGTGTCCCACTTGAGATGGCCAACTGTGAACTCTGATGCGATGATATCTTCCTTCAGACTAGGAACTGTGCAGTATGGTTTTTAAACCATACCAAGTATTCACCACCCACAAGTGCTTTGCCTTTGACTCTGCAGCATCATTCTGTCAAACAGCTGGTTAAAGCTACACCCTTAACCTACAACTAGGGCTTTTTCTTAAAATAGTTTGCTTTGGATTGACCTCTTCAGTAAGAGCTATGTACCAAATTGTGATCTAAGCTCACGGAGATGTTTTGGAAGAAGGCTCCATCCGTGCAGATGCCGGGCAGTTCTCTGGAAAAGGGAAGTAGTGTTCTTGGAGGCAGGACTGTAGAAGATAACAGAGTATCAGGTAGTTGGGAAACACACTATTTTGCCTGAACGTAGCAGGAAAGTCCATTTCCTGCAGTATGAGACAAAGGGCACGTGTGGAAATAAAACAGCAAATGGATTCCGCTGCCCATTGAAAGTCATGGTTTCTCTTGACTTATGCCTCTTCATATTGGCATTCTTGATTTTAGTCATATCTACGCCAGAAAATGAAGGTGATGGGACAGTGAGACTGTTGTCCTGCATCTACTGTTCCTAAATGCAAATTGTAGCATTTCGTGCTTGCCTGATACATAAAAAATTCTTGCAAACATGTTGTGGTAAGGAAATAGTTATATTTTTTTAAACTATATTCTATATTATTGTCTAGACTCTGCCTAAAATCTTTACTAAACAAGAAGTTGTTGCATTGTTTTATTCTTAAGTGTTTTCCTGTGTTTTGCTATGTTTATTTAGATGTCAGAAAGGCTCCAGATGCCTACAATGCTGCCTCTGCCATACCTAAAATCTTGATTTAGATGAAAGTCATTTATCTATGCTACTGTCATTCACAGGATAAGTTTATTAGTAGGTAGAAAGATATTTTTCTCCAAACTTCCCCAAAACTGTGTCAAGAAAACTGTCTTTGCAGAATGCTTTGACTTGTCACAAGACCGATCCCCTTTCAGGCCACTGATTTGGTTTCCTAGGGGAGAGCTCTTTTTAAACATGTTTTTACTGAAGCAAGTTGTGTGTATAGTGGAGAAAACAAGTTGGAAGAAAGGAGCCTTTGTGGCAAACGTAGCCGACTGTGCCAAGAGGAGTCAGTTTGGTAACAGTTGAGACTACAAAATGGGGAAATAACACCAGCCTTTAGGTAGACTCCATCTAACACACCAAACCTGTGAGAAGTAGCCCGTATAGATCCCAGCACAATTTCTTACTACAGAAGTCCTCTTCAGATTGTCCCTTTATCTCTAGGAGTAGCTACATACAGAGGTAGTGGCTACTTCTCTAAAAAGAGAGCAGGTGTGGGGTCTTCAAGCTGTGTGCTCTACTGATTTGCTGTCAGGCCACTTCGAAAACAAGTGCAACTGCTCCACTAAAAATAAATCCATGTCTAGTTCTTTTTGAATGGTCCCAATAGAAATGCTCCAGTACTATGGTACTGGAGATAAACTTGGGGCAGGTCATGTATGAAAGCAGAATGCAGTAATGACCTTGCTTATTTGCCTCATAGTGAAAACTCAGTCTTATATTTTTGTCTCTTCTAGGGCTTTGCAGCAGGATAATTGGCACATAATGCTTCCTCCTCGCTGTATTAAAAAGTGATTTCGTATGTGCCCTCTGTATATAGGGAATGTATCAATTATTGCTCTGTGAAATTTGTAACACAGCTGTGAGTGGTGTTCCAACTCCTTGGGTCCTACACTTGATGGGAAATGGGTAGCATCAAACACACAGAAGCTCTGTCCAGATTGGAGCTGTTCTGAGAATGACTGGATTGTATCTACTGGTCCCCTGTTTTACAAGGCCTAACTCTAAATACTTTGTAAAACAATTAATGAAATATCACAGTTGGCTCTAAAGGAAGGCCAAAACTAATTCTAGTCTGTTCACGTTGCAACAAATGCTTTAGTTTTCTATTCATGTTTTTAGTCAGCACAGGTGCATTTGTAGGGTTGGGACCAGTGGTATGTACAGACCATATGTTAAGTTTAGCATCCTGTTAACTACCTTAGTTGTTAATTTCCTGGGACATAGATTAAAACCAATCTAAATGTTGTAGCTGGGCAGTCTCCACTGTCTTTCAGTACTACTGATTTTGCATTTGTGTTATATTTCATTCATCAAGACAGGGAAAGAAGGCAGAAAAAAAAGCTATCTTTTGTGATTAATACTAAAAATGTAATATTTTATTTTTACAATAAAATGACTACTGATTGACCTTTTTGTAGATGTGCTTATTTGTGCTGTGATTAAGTACATTAACATTTTCACACTTGAAGTATTGATACTATACAGTTTTCAAATCACTCTTGGAAATGTGTTACGTTATCTGTCCTAATCATACAAACATACTTGAATTGGAGTTATTCATTGCGAATAACTGCCTGTCTAATAAAGTGATCATTGTGGTACAGTATGGGTCTACATATATTTAAGAGACTGCTTAATTTCTTAAAAACCCTGCATCTTTCATGAGAAGTGTTTCTTTATTTAAATAATCTAAGTGCCAGGGTGTACTTCTGAATGGTTAAGAGTGGTAGTATCAAGAATAAAGTATTTAGAATTTATTTTTAGTTACATTTTTCCCTAGCTTCTCACTTCATCATATGAAAAGGATGTAGTCATATCTTATTTTAAGGCAGTCCTGCCATTTAATATTTGCCACAGAGAGAGACTCTGTGCATGTGCCATGCATGTGTGAATTTTCTGCTAAGTCACTCCAGATGAAAGCAAATGCTGATTCTGAATTTTGTTTTGTCATCTTCTTGCTGGGCACAGAAAACCTCCTGTTGCCCCATATTCACCTGCCCATAGGCAGGTGAAGAGTTGGGGAACGGTTGTGTGTAACCGGCTGCACGGGTATGAGGAAGATAAGGCTTGACTCACACAGTGATGAGGTTTATTGCCAGAGCAGCAGGAGGCAAGAAGCTAATCCATGTACTTTGTACAGAGGTAGTGTCCCAAGTGGAATTCCTTGTCATCCAACCTGACTCATTTCAAATGGGGCAACTTAGGCAAGTTAAACAATTCTGCTCAGCGTTCATCCCTGGTCATCATTGTCAAAAGACACACTTTTAAAATGATGTCACCTTCTGAAACAGTGGTTAATAACCTTCTACACTTAAATGAGCTATCAGTAGCATGTTGACCAGTAAGAGAGTTGTAGGAAACCAATAATTACTTGTGAAGATACCCCATATATATTAAAAGTTCTGGTTACAAATACTGGCTGTAACTTGTTTTTAACTGGGTTTAGTCTGACAAATTAACTGAGAAGACTTGCTCAAGAGCAGATGCGGGGCTGGGGCTTGTGTGTGCTCCAAGGCAGACTGGTGATGTAACAGGCCAGTAGTGGGATGGGAGGGTTGCCTGGGGGAGATTGTGACCTCTCCTGCCTGCTCTGTGATGCTGCAGGGCCCCGGCCAGCGAGGGATGAATGCCCCTGCCTCCTTCCATCAGGCTGCTTGGAGCAAAACAGCAGAAGAAACATCAGTAACTAAAGCTGCTGCTTGAAATCGAGGCGGGAAGCGAACACCACACGAGACACCATGGTGAGGAAAAAGAAACAGATGTTATGAAATGATGACCAGTGTGTTTGGCCTTTTGATTCCATCTGCTCTGGTCAAGGTGTGAGCGAAGGTGGGATGGCTGAAGTAACTTTATTGCTTCAGTCTGACTAAGCAAATGGACCAGAGATCAATGCTTATGACCTGTGGTCTTCCTAGGTCACCGAGGTTCTCTAAACTCATCTCTTGTATAACACAATTCAGAAAACTTTTATTCTGTAATTCCTACTGTTTATGTTTATGGTCTTTGGCATTGATGGACAGGTTTGCTTATAGCAATTTTATTAATAAACTGTGATGCTTTAGTGTATTAAATTTCCCAGAGTCTTTAAACGGCTTTCAGATTTTTGCAGATCAATGACTATTGAAAGGAAGAGGATTCCTTGTTCTAATGTTGCTTAACTTTATGACAAGTATAAACAGAATACAAAGTTAAAAGTGTAGCAGAGCTACATGAGAGCCTGCATAAAACCTACAGAAGGAGAAACATTTATTTTTCTCTTGGAATGTGATACTGTATTTTGTGTTTCAGATTTCTGATACTACGTACGACATAGTAATTTTACAATTTTAGAAACTGACTACAGCAATGTAGCATTGACTACAGAAGTGTACATATTAGAATGATTTCTCAGGAGATAAATTCAACATTTGAAGACTATTTTGAGAAGTTGCCTTGAGTTAACTCTTCATATGTTAAATTGAATTAAATATCTGGGGAATGGGCTGGAATAATGAGTGGTTGAGATTAAATTAGGTTATTTACTTATTTTCATTTAATTTTCACAAATCTGTTTTCCACCTCTCCAACACATATGTTCAAAAGCATATGGAGAGATTAGAACATAATGCATTCATTGTTTTACCTATAGATCAGTAGGGCTGCGTAGTTGTGGGGTTTTTTTTCCCCAGGTAAATAGATTTAGCTCATATTCCTTAGCTGAGATCTACTATATGTTTTGTGTGATTATGCAGATTTTCTTTCTGAATGAATTTACATACACTGAAGTCATCTTCCTATTTGTAAATAAGTGTACAATATTTTCTATTAGTTCCAAACGTGTGAAAAATTGTGCAAGTTTTTGCCTCATAGTTGTATGAAAACAAACCAACCAACCAGTGGTTGATTTGGGGGTTCTGGTAAAATCAGCTTATAGCCTCTCTGGATACTCATGGTTCTTCTCCCCTTTTCCCCAATCTTCCCCTGTAGCGTGAGTGCATCTCTGTTCACGTTGGTCAAGCTGGAGTTCAGATTGGCAATGCCTGTTGGGAACTCTTCTGCCTGGAGCATGGCATTCAGCCGGATGGCACCTTCAAGGACCAACCCAGCGATGACGACTCCTTTGCAACATTTTTCAGGGAGACAAGCACTAGAAAATACGTGCCACGGGCTATTATGGTGGACCTGGAGCAAACTGTAGTAGGTCAGTATAGAACTAATCTCAGAAAATGGAAATGAATTAACTCTTGTCGGTGCCAGCAGATCAAAATTTACCATTGTTAACTCCCCCGTTGGTTATAATTTACCTTTCTCCATGAGAATTTTCACCTTCTGGTATTTTTGTGGTGATGTTTTTCTTTGACAACTATGGAAAATACTTTTTTTCCCATTTGGATCAGAGACAGGAGCATGAAGAAACCAGTAGCAGGGGTGATCTCAAAGAGTGTTTTGGGGAAACCTCCATTTTACTCCTGCAAATCTCTTCCAGTAATTCTCCTGAAGGTTCTCATGGATATTATGTGAGGTGTATAGTGCATTTTCCCATAGCATAGCACAAGTTTCATCTGAAAAATGATCTCTTTATAAGCAGAGCAATTTAAGAGAAGCATCTCAGACTGCTATCTGTTCCTATTTTCTTTTCCTTTTTTTTTTTTTTTTTAATTTTCCCTGAATGGAAAATATCTCAGATATTCCTCAGCTCTGTACTTACTTAGGTTCTCAGCCTTCAGCTCTTCCATTCCATTTGTCTGCCAAAGCAGAAAGCTGAGCTTTAGCAACTGGACTTGCTAACACTGCCAGTCTTGGTGAACTCTCTTCCAAGCTTACGCTTCTTTTCTTTTGTTCAGATGAGGTGAGGACTGGCACCTACCGTCAGCTTTTCCATCCAGAACAGCTGATCACTGGAAAGGAAGATGCAGCAAATAACTACGCCCGTGGCCACTACTCCATTGGAAAAGACAAAATTGACATGGCATTAGATCGTATACGCAAACTGGTATGTACAGTTGTGTTGGAAGCAGAACGTTGGTGGGTGCTAGAGGAAATAAAAAAAACATGTATGCATGTTTTTCGTAGCAAAACTTGTTTTGCTTTTACTATTGTTATTGGTTTGGCATAGGGAAAACACAGATCCTGGCAGTTTTAAGACTGGAAGACTTCCAATATTACTGTGGCATTATTATAGCAAGAGAAATCCAGTCATCTTCTGGGGAATAATTTAGTTCTCCTATTTAGATGTTCTGCTGATCTGTATTGGGTACGGAGTGTGGATGTTGCTGTTTCTATCTCAAGGAGAAATTCAAAGATATAGTCACTTATTCTTTCACTTTTCTTCTCTCTTTTCAGGCTGATGCCTGCTCAGGGCTACAGGGATTCCTGATTTTCCACAGCTTTGGTGGGGGCACTGGCTCTGGTTTTACTTCCTTACTGATGGAGCGCCTTTCTCTGGACTATGGAAAGAAGTCCAAGCTCGAGTTTGCCATCTACCCTGCTCCCCAGGTCTCCACTGCTGTCGTGGAGCCCTACAATTCTATCCTGACCACTCACACCACCCTGGAGCACTCAGATTGTGCCTTCATGGTCGATAACGAGGCTATCTATGATATCTGTCGCCAAAACCTGGACATCGAGCGCCCAACGTACACCAACCTCAACCGCCTCATCAGCCAGATTGTCTCCTCCATCACGGCCTCTCTGCGCTTCGATGGGGCCCTCAACGTGGACCTCACCGAGTTCCAGACGAACCTGGTGCCCTACCCGCGCATCCACTTCCCCTTAGTGACCTACGCCCCCATCATCTC